TCATTATTCGCCTGTAAATTTTCTCCTTGCATATCCTCATTCATATGGACCTTGATTTGACGAAATTAAAGATCTTAATTGCCGTTACCATCCGTATACCCATTACAGTAACCCTGCTCAGGAGCATGGGAGATCGGTGCAAATCAACGAAGCATCTGGCGAGAGGTCTAGGAGATGACAGGTTCGGACCAGAGGGAGCGGAGGGAGCGGAGGGGTTAACTGAGTTGACTTTAGGGCGCATGCAAAGTGGTGGTTAGTGCCGTGTGGGGACTAGTTGCATGCAGGACATACGTTAGGTATACTGGCAGCGGTTCTGGATAAGTAAGAGTTTAACCTGTTACAATATTCCGAACTGCGTTGTGCCAGTACTACGCGGGACTCTTGAGGATGTTTTTTGTCGTCTGCTTTAGATGCTGGTTCGACTCCGAGTACAAAGCGCATAACTGTAAGCTCTGCTTCATACATCACCTGTAAATTAATAGAACTGATCTTGAGGATGACTGCAGGGTAAAGGTTTAAGAAATGTACCGCCGTAAGGCGCTATGAGGAGACTAAAGCTAAAAATTTCCGCGATAGTGAGGTCTTTACAATGAAACTACCTGCATTTTTTTCCGTCCAAGGACGGTCACTCCCACAATAGTCCCCAAGAACTATTAATTAATAATTTTTTTGAATACAACAGCAACATGACTTCTAGCACCTTTGTTGATGTATTACTTACAGCGCCTAATATAACTAATAAACAAGTGGGTTACATAATTGGAAGTAGTGGCCACCTTTTTGACGCAATGGTCCTTCTGTAGGAGGGATTTACCAGCACTACTTTCAACATATGCCCACCAGCTGGGTAAGAGGTGTGTTACCTTTAAAGATGATGGGTTCAACTATTAGGATTATTCGCCAAGAGAAGGATAACGAGGTCATCCTTCTTGTGATTCCGTGGATAATTTTAACATTTTCTTCTTCCGTCTGTAGCTCAACAATTAATTTCTGGATTAAATTATAGAATGCTTACTACACATCAATGAATGTCGCGAGGAAGTAATCTCGCTTATGTTATGTGGATTTTTATCCTTGATGTGTGCTTGCCGTTGAAGTGACAGTCACTCAGAGTGTATTTTCTGTTTGACCTCATCGTTGCTTATTCTTTGCATGCTCTTTCGCTGAAAGGATGGCACACTGATTGGTCTATACGACTTACATACAGAGCGATCCTCTCTACCAAGCTACGAGTTGAAAAAACACGAAAATGATAGTAACTATAGGACGAAATTTCTGAAGCTATTAAAATTGGCGGGAGCAGTAGCCGAGTGGTTAGCATTGCGTATTGACATTCGGAAGGCTCGGGTTCATATTCCGGTACCACCAACATCCAATACGGTATGGCAAATTAATTTAAATAAAAAATTAAGCTAATTTTTTTAATTGCGGTCGCTCTCGGAAGGGATTGTCAACCCTTTCGAGTGTATTTCTGACATGAAATAAAGCTTCTCATAAAAAACAATCAGCCGTTCGAAGGCGGCTAAGTATAAACTTTAGGTCCCTTCGTTTGTTGGAAAAACATCAATACGCAAAACCACAAATTGGAAGAAGAGCTGGGCCGAAAATAGCTTTAGCGGCTACAAAGCGCCATCTCCGCAAGATTTCTTGGAGTCTTTTAAGCAGGTTGAAGCAATATTTCCTTCATTAAATCAGGAAAGTAGCGCGGCTGCTTTAAAATTATCTTTCTATTTTTATTCAGTCCACAAGGCTCCACCCGGCAATACACTCAAGTATTTGGAGACTGTCTGAACAGTTTTCTACCTAACTCTAACCAAATTAATAGTAGGACAATTTTCACCGAGGATGTCAATATTTGCTGTAAGAAGCAAGAAATAACAAGAAATTCCTTAGGGAGGTTATTTTATGGTGGAAATTCTAGAGCCAGCTGCCTGCAACCAACCCTTCAACCCACACTATGCCGTAAGAGTTTCACTCTCTCGGTAGTAATGCCTAAAATGGCTCACGATTCTTTTTAACTACGTAAATATGAGGCATATGGGAAATTGGAATTGAGAAAAGTAGTCAAACTATATTTATTTATATTTTATATACAAAACTATGATAAGACTTCCGAGTCTAAAGATGGTGAGAATGCTAGCACTAAAACGCAGCTGCGAAAATTGTTAAAAAAAAAAATAAATAAATAAATAACCAACATGTGATGCACATAACATATAAGAGACTATAAAAAGCACATATGTATGTATCATATGTATGTACATGCTCGAACATATATGTACATATAATACATTTTTATCCACGACCATATGTAGCAACAAATGTTTGTCAACAATTCATTAAAACGGATGCAACAGCGAACAAAAAGAAAGCGTAAACCAGCAAAATGACAGAATAAAAAAATAATGCAAAATGCAATGAACATAATGAATAAAGAGAAAAGGGAAAAAACTTGACGCTCCGGCAGCTGCCTTTCAAACGCTTTCAATACAAACCCGAACATTGTTTTTGTCGTATTAGTGTTAGTGGTGGTGCCGGCGGAGAGTGCCACTACAGTGCCAGAGTATGAGTGTGAGCATGAGTAAGCTCATACAGCGCTGAGAGCGGCCGACCTTGACAGTGAACTTGAAAATTCACTATAAAGATTTTCGTCACGCTCTGCTGACTTGAAATGGCTGGCGATAGCGACAGCGACAGCGACAGTAGCAGAGAATGGGTATAACGAGAGGTAAATTGTTTTGTTTTATTTTGTTTCTAGTTAGAGCAATCACTAGCGTAGCTGTGCTTTTTTGCCAGTAGAGCTTGTGAGGGCGGTGCTGGTTGTTAGTTGGTAGATATGTTTGTTTGCGCACGTACAGCCTACAAAATGTTTGCACTACGCTCTCGCAATACTCAGAGCACTTCCACTGGCAAGCGCAACGAGTCACACAGGTGTGTCAGCGGCGGCAGCAGCAGCAACGGCGACAGCGTTGGATGTTTATTGCTCCTTTTGTGGCCAAACAGGTTTGCTATCGATTTTGTCCCTACACTTCCATTGAATGTGTATATTAGCAGCAGGGTAGCAGCAGCAGCAAATCGATTTAGGCACTGCTCAAAAGCCACTAAGCTGACACTCAGCGTCGTGTTTCACTCTCCTTACACTCACGCTGGGCTTTCACTTACTTCTCGTGCGGACGCGTTATAAAACATTTAACATTTAATTATATTTTATGTGTTATAATTTTGTTAAATATTTGGTTATTTTTAATTATTGTAGGTCTTATTCTGTTGCTCCATGCCAATTCAATAATCAGCTGGGCTGTTCAGCTGCTTTCCACTCTCGTTTACAGTGGTTCTCTCATGCATACTTACATATATGAACTAGATTTTTTTTAGGTATTTAAAGCCGTTTGTTTTTGGTAAGGTATTGCAGTGTTGTTCATATAAAGTCCGCCCGTAAAAGCGTAAAACAACTGAGATGACCTGCAACTATTGCACTTTCAATTTGTTATGGACCTTGTTCACCGAGAACAGCACAATAAACTGATGTTCCCTAAAATTCGTGTAATGTTTTAATATCAGCATTGTATAATAAATATTTGAATAATATAGTATAATAAGGAATTTTCAGTGCCACTTTCTGAAAAGTAAAGCTGATTAGATATTAACCTAGTCGAAGAGTTTTCTATATTCGAATTATCCTTGAAGTCGAATCACATATCCGGTTTTTTTGAATAGATTGGTACAATATCTCATATTAATCTGTGAAATTCCATATTTCAAACAAATCCAAGTAAGAGCCCTTTTTCCTAAAAGATCGGGTTCAGCTACACTTCTAGGTCTAAAAGGTCTTTCTTATGTTAATTTAGACCCAAAGTTACCTCTTCACCAAATTTTTTGCAAACCGAACTGTTGAAAAACTAATTCGATTTTCGCGAGAAATCCTTTCTTATAGAATGCCTGCGTAACACAGAATACTTGGAAGGTGTTTTACGTCGCTACGATCAGTGGTTCACGCGGTGGGTTGATCTGTCAGTGCTTCAGAGCAAAGTCTTTGTATATATTGATAAAATTTAGTATATATAGTCTTTTTAATTATAACTATGTTTGCACTTAAATCTGCACATAAATTAAAAATAAATTTTGTTTTAATAAATTAACGTAAGAGATACATTGGTACAGATGTTTGTATTTAACTGGAAATATAGACAATTACATATTAATTTTTTAATCTGTTATGGTTGCAAATATTCTTTTATGTTTCTTTCGATTTCGAAGATGATTCTCCTCTTTCTCTTCGAACACTTAATCGCAATAGGCTGGTGTCTAAGTGAAGAAAGATAATCAGCTTGAAGTGAAAGCTTCGCCACTACAATAATTTTTAGTATTTTTTTTTTTGGAATTGGTGTACATTTATATGTATACGCTTATATAAGTAGGAGTAAGATTACCTAGCAAACATAAATTTAGAACTACGCTAATACCAAGGCATATTACGTACTTACGTAAGGCTGTCATTAAAACATTTTGCTCGTTCTTACTGTCCAACTTTGAGCGATTTACAATAGAAGAAACACACAGCGATTTATGGCTTAAAGTAGTGTCAGCTACAGGGAATCAATCATTTCTGATTTCTTGAAAATATACATATATATCGTATATAATTGGCGCTTGGTAATCGTTAAAGCGATTTACGGTCTTCCTTTCTTATTTTAACTGATTTTCTATGACTTTTAGATACTAGTAGAGCCAGGATTCGAACCCTGGCCTTCCGAATGACATAACGCAATGTTAATTCATTCGACAATCAGTAAAATTGCGACAAACATTTTCGTGGAGCAATTTAATAAAATCATGAATATTTTTCATTTCCATTTCACTGTGACATTTTGAGTTTTCAGAGGCGCAAAAAAGCATTTTCTCTTCATAATTCCCATATATTCATTCGAAATGCTCACGCAGAGACCAATGCAATTGTAAATGTAATGAACAGCATATTATATAACGTATGGATCAGCCGAGCTTAGCACTTCCTTACTTCCTTTCTGTGTTATTTTCGCTTTCACACAACTTTCGCTTCGTCGTTGTTCGTTTGCAATTTTATGGATTTTAGATTTTTTTTTACACATTACACTTCCCCATAATATCTCGTGAGCTTCGTAGCTCCTATTTATGTATGTATATATGTATGTATATATGTATGTATGTATGTACACATGCATCTGTATGTAGAACTTTAATTTCGTACCCACTTACCTAAATAATTTTTTATACGCGTATATATTTATAATTTTTATCTCTCATCGGTATCAGCTGCGCTGACTCTCGCACTCTCATTCTCAATTATCGCTCAGCACAAGGGTCCGTAGCTTCTAATTTGTTGATTTCGATAATTATATTGTATACAAATACATACATATTTCTTTCATTAGCTCTGCTGCCGGCATGAATCACCAGTGTAACTGCTTGTTGTTGGTCACACTTTTGTGGGTGGAGGGAGCTGAGTGCTGGCGCTTGCCTCTCGGTCCATCACAGTTGAATTGATATAATTTTCAGCTGGTTTATCGGTTAGCCAATGTCAAAAATGGAGAATATTTTTGTTGTATTAGTAAATATGTATGTAGCCACTTGAAGGGGCAGTAGGTTAAATTCATCGATTCGCAGTTTACGCCTTGAAAGAAAACTGAATGTAGCGTCCATTGGCGTGCAATACCGACTTTATGCTAGAAAGGCAAAAATTGAGATTAATCCGGAGAAGAAAATACCAAAAAAATAAACCAATAACAGTCACATGATGAAGTCCGATAAAGTTGTTAGCACATGGGTCTCCAAATATTCGTCTGACGGTACAAGCCAATTTAAAGTGAAATTCAACGAGAAAGAAGAGCTATCATCCGTCAAGCCGAAACCCTTATCAAATTTATGGCATTTCACTTTAGGATTAAATAATAATTCTCATATCAACACAAGCAGTCTGCGCCAATTACTGTGAGCTTAGCCTGCTCAATATCACATATGAGAGAGCCTCATTTATTATATTTGTGAAAGACTAAAGACCACCGTCAACAAACTGATTAGACCTTATCAGAGTAGCTTTAGAACTGCGGATACTCACAATTAACCACATATTCACCATGCGAAGAATCTTGGAAAAAAGCACGTGAACGGATCATTGAAACACATCACCTCTTCGTCGAATTTAAAGCAGCCTTCGATAGCATGAAAAAGCGGGCTCTGCGAGGCTTTGTCTGAATTTGGTATCGCCGAAAAATTTACTTATGCGGCTGAGTAAACTGCAGATAAATAGCACCAAAAGCTACGACAGGACCAATAAAGACTTCTCGAAGTGGTTCGTTATCAAATGAGCTTTCAAACAACGTGATGCTTATCGTGTGACTTCTTTAATTTATTGCTGAAGAAAATATTATGATGTCAATGTCAGTGCCGATGTCAATATCACCATTGGGATCAACAACCGTGCCTTGAGTTCGTTTTTTTTTTTTTTTTATAACAGGCATCTTTTGTCACATCGTCCATCTCTTCCGTTGGGGCGTCGGTGCAAATCAAGTCTCTCTCCCAACACGGATTCGACACCAAAATTTGCGCTCCTTCATATGATCGCTGTAGTAAATGTCACAACCACTTAGTCGCTTCCGTGCAAAGTCCCGCTCATCGCACTTCTTAAATTGTGGTGATGCCAGCATTTATTCTCACGAGGGCATCAACCAGTTGGGCAGCGGCACCTTCCCAATTAACGGACCGAACAATTGCGGTTTTCTCATTTGAGGCATAATTAATTTTTTTCATTGGAGTTGGTTTTTGCGTGATGTGTTCTAAATCCAACCCACAACCTCGCTATGCGTATAAGCTTAGAGTTTTTACAGATTTGTATAGCGAGCCGCCTGCTACTAGGCTGACGACGACTCGTTACACACCTCTGGTGGACAGACGCTAGAATTAGAGCTCAGCGGACCATTAAACCGAATAAGTTGGAGTGGCTTCACTGAAGCTTTCTCTCCAAGGAAGAAAGCAAGGCTCCACATGGGTTGGTTACCGCATCTTGCACAAATTTTGCACACGTTCCCAGGGTACGCGCTGTGGTGGCAAGAATAGGAATTGAGTATAGCTCCGTAACTGTAACTGCATACCTGCTTGACTAACCCCTTCCCACCCTGCTGGATTGTGTTTAAAAAACCGATAAGAATTAGTAAATACACAGCTGTCGCCAGAGCTCAATGATTTTGTTTCCCTCCAGCAATGTTCGGCAAGTTTTCGAAAATTCATTTAAAAATTAATTTCTACGACTATAACTGCGGGGCGCAACAACAATCAAAATATACAAATACGAATATACATACGCTTTATATTATATATGCGTTAAAATCAATACATACATATACGAATACATATATATATATGTCATACTTGTGCACTTACATATATACATATGTATGTAAATACACGTATATTGCTTATTGCATATTCGTGTGAAATTTAATTAACTGCCTGCATTCCACCTACTGCCCCAGTGAGGCGAAAGTAACGTAAACGAAAACAAAAACAACTTCAACACACACAGCGATATTCAATTTTTGCCAAGCTTTATTTGTTCGCCTTTTTTGTTTCAGTTTCTGTTTCTGTTTTTGCATTCATATTGACCTTCAAACTGACATTCGCGTTTAGATGTGCATACTGTATGCCTCTGTATGGGTGCAAGCTAAGTACATGTACATGTGTATATAAAGTTTTGGATATCTACAGCCTTCTTTATTTACTGCTTGTTGTTGGTCGCTCGCATTTAGTGTGGTGGTTGTGTTGTTGTGGTGCTGTTCCTGCCGCTCAACTGCAGTAAATGCTGTGCAATCTGCAGCTAAGTGGCAAACTAAAATTGTATGTATTTAATGCTTTCGCAGATACCCTGCTTACATACAGATGTCAGGCGATAATCATGTACGGAGGAATTATATATATATATATATAGAGTATATCTTATATACATCTAAAGCAGTTTATAAAAGATACTGGCAATTTATATACATACTTAGAGAAGCAGTGTTTGAGCTTCGCTACAACTTGCATACATACATACCTACATAGCTTTTTTCAAACATGCCACATTGCCATCATTTTAAAAACTTTCAGTGCGATATGTGCCCCGATCAGAGAAAAATTTTAGACAGTTAAAGTTTATCAAAAAACATATCTTTGTTCTAACTAAAATTCATACGAATCAAATGTAGGAATTTGGATGTTCGTGAGGTTTGATCGTCTCGCTTTGGGTCCCAACAAATAGAGAGGAAGCGCCTGAGCTGCGCGTGCTGCGCTGCCCCTGCGCACTCGAGTCGTTTGAACCGAGCGGAGATGCGAGAGATTTTAAAAAATTCGCTGGATTGCTGATGGCTTTCAGACAAACAAAACGATCTAGTAAGGCATTGAGTATATGAAGGGAATATTTTTCCGACTTCCATAATTAATTATTAATGAAAAATTAATTGAATTTTCTAAGCTTTAAAATCGCTAAAAAAAATGCCTTCACTCGGCAACACTTTCAGCTTGTTTGTTCGCTTCCTTTTGGTTCTCACACAGACGCTTTTTGTACATTTAATTGCATTTTTGCAGCTTCCCTACGAAGGGCTAGTGAGCGAATATTCAAAATGCGCTTGCTCTCCATGAGAGAGGTTATGTAAACACATGTACTCGTGTATACATTTCCGAACACATAATGGTTTGTAGAATTATGTATTTATAAGAGAGTTTGCGCGTAAGTCAACTTGAATGCCTAGCGGGGTAGCAGCAACAACAGAGAAATTATTGTCGCACAAATTGCTTTGTTCGGTTATTGTGAAAATTGCAAAATTGCAGTTCATGTTCAAGGTCACCATTAAGGTGCTCATCAATACAAGCACATACATATATAGTTACTCTATATTACGTATATTTGAATTGCTTAAATGAAAATGCAATAAGTGCACTTACAAAAAAAGTTAAATAATACTATATAGTTTTAAATAAAATAAAATAATGGATTAACTAAATTAAAACAAATTAAATGAAATTAAATACAATTTAAAAAAATAATATTATAATGCAAAGTTAAATTAAATAATAAAAACAAAAATAAAGCAAATAAAAAATGCAATAAAATAACAAAATGAAAATTTTAAAAATAAAATTTACTGTAAAGAATTAAAATAAAAATTAAATTTATACAAAATAGTAAATAAAAAATTTTAGGCAAATAATATTAGACAAAGAAAATAAAATAAAATTAACTAACATAATTGTAATAAAATACAACAAATAAATGCGAGTTAAAATAAAATAGAGCAAATAAATAAAGGAAATTAAAATGAAAAAATATGAATTCAATACAAAAAATAAATGAAATCATAATAAAATAAAGTAAATTGTATTACTACTATTATAAGTATAAAAAAATTAAATAAAATATAATAAAACGAAATAAGACAAATTACATTAAATGAACATCGTAAAAAATAATAATTCAAATTAATTAATTACTTACTTAATTATTTACTTAAATTAAAAAAAGTGAAATAAAGTTAAATAAAATAAAATAAAACAAAATCAAATAAAAAAAGTAAAATAAAGTAGAGAATATAATAAAACAAGTAAATAAAATTAGATCAAGCTGAATAAAATCTTAATAAAGGACTTAACTTTAAACTTTCTTAAACAAAGGAAACTAAAATAAAAAAATATTATTCAAATAATGTACAAAAAATAAATGAAACCATAATAAAATAAGCTAAATTCTATTAATAATAATACTATAAACAGAATTTAATGAAATAGAATAAAACGAAATAAAATAAATTAAACTAAATAAACATCGGAACAAATAAAAATAAATAAAATACATAAATTAAAACAAGAAATAAAAAAGTGAATTAAAGTAAAGTAACATATAATAAAGTAAATTAAAATAAAACAAATTAAAATAAAATAATATAAAACAACATAAAATAAAATAAAATTAAACAGTTTGTTTTGTTTGGAACATCAAACTAAAATAAATAAAATAACATAAAATTAAAAAAATAAAATACACAAAAACAAATAAAGTAAAACAAATTAAAATAAGATAAAATTAAGTAAAAAGCAATGAGATAAAATAAAATAAAATAACATTAAATTAAATACAATGAATTAAAATCAAATGAAATCAAATAAATATAAATAGAATAAAATAAAACAATATTGAAACAAATAAATAAAATGTGAACAAAAAATTTATTCACATAAAAAGATAACATAAAATAATTAGGGTTTTCACAAGATGTCATATTTTGTCATATCGTCATATTATCGATTGAACACTTTTGTTGTTTCCCATGTAAAATTAAAATACGACAAATACAACATAGCGCGCTATGTTTTTTGAATGGGCTCTTCTATAAACCGTATCTGTTTACCTTTTTTTTATAATTTTTATATATTTTATAATATTATTTTTCACTTTCACTTCACTTTATTTTCTTGTGGCATTTTTGTATTCTTAATTTTTCACTATGAAACATAGAATATATTAAACAATATGACATACAACGATTTATGGATGCCCACAAGTGTCATATATATTAAAACTATTAAAGTATGACATAAGACATAAGAAAAAGCTTGTGTATTGTCTAAATTTAATGTAACCTAAAATGAAATACCATGAAATTGTTACAAAAAAATGTAAAATCAAATGATATAAAATAAAATTAAAAACTAAAATCACCAAAATTGAAATATATTAATTTAATTTTGATGAACATCGAAAAAATATTACGAAAATGAAAAATAAAAATATAAATTAAATTAATTAAAAATAAATTCGATTAAATGAAATAAAACTAATATTATAAAAAAAGTAAATTAAACAGCTTAAAATGAAGTAAAATAAAGTAAAAAAAAATAAAATTAAAAATAATAAGCGAAAAACTAAAAGAATTAAAAAGATTATATCAAATAGTATAAAGTAAATATTATTGAAATAACATATTTAGGAAAATTTTGAAAAATCAAATGAAATGAAAAAAGCCGATTGAACTTTCTTTAAATTTAGATGAGTTAAAAAATAATTAAATTAAACTAAGATATGACCGAATATAAGATAAAATTAAAGCAGTGAAATTAAAATAAATTAAAAAAAATTTAAAAATGTAATAAATATGTAAAAAAAAATAACGTAAAAAAAAATAAATGCAAAATAAAAATAAAAAAATTGTAAAAAAGAGCAACACAGTAAAATAAAACAAAATAAAATAATAAAAACAATATAATTAAATTAAATTAATTTAAAGTAAGTAAAAAATTTAAATTAAAAGATATAAAAGAGTATAAAACAAAAAGTAATTAAAATAAAACTAAAATATAACTCAAAATATGATAAAATAAAAGTAATAAAATTATATAAATAAAAAAAATTTGTATGTAATTGAATTAATGAAAAATAAATAATAATAATATATAATAATGAATAATATATAATATATGAACAGAAAAAAATATAAAAAAAAATTTTGTAAAATCAAACAATTACAACAAAGTGAAGTCATCATCCAAAAGTCTGACTGAATTTTTAGCTAAATTGATTTTAATTAATTTTAATTCATCTCGAAAATTCCAAATAAATAGAAACTGACATTTTATAA